CTATCTGTGAATGGAAGGTGGGATTTCAAGCTTCTACTTTCCCATGGTGCACGTGGCTGACCTCACAGGTGAGAGAGAGGGCACCCGGGACATAAGGGACTCATGGGGACATAAAGGACTCATGGGGACATAAGGGACTCATGGGGACATGAGGGCCGAGGTGTCCAGAAACCAGGGAAGGAAGAGCTGCCTGTGTCCAGGCCCCAGGGAGGAGGCCACTGTGGAGGACAGGCCAGGTGGCCAGAGGGCTGAGTCATCCACATCCTGGTCACCTGCCTGGGTGGCTCTGGTTAGGACTCCTCTCCCCCAGCATCTGGTCCAGGCTTGAGTTTGGGTATAAAACGCGGAGATGCCACGGGAACCTCCAGTCCCTCTCTGGCAGCGCCTGAGGCCAAACCTGACCAGGAGCGTCACTCACTTCGGGGCAGTTACCCCCAGGGCCGGGTCCCCTGGCTCGAGGTTCCTTCTGTGGGAGCTAGAGCTCCGGGCCTTCAGGGGTCGCGTCCATGGAGGCTGGGGTGGATGTGGGCTGATGCGATAGTCCACGAGGCGATTAGTGGGTGGACACTGGGGCAGGTGGGGTGGCGGGAGGTGGGTCACTGGGCGAGTCCTGGGGTGTGTGCTGGGTCCCTAGTGAATGGGGCGTTTCCTGTGGCCCCACCCTGAGTGGGTTTCCCCCTCTACACCCTCTGCCATGAGCTTCTCCCTCGCCTTGGGCCCAGAGCCCGGAGTCGGTCACCCCTGGACCGAGGCCTCTGGAACAGCCCCACATAAACTCCCCCCCCATTGTTCTTGTCCCGTGTTTTGGTCACAGAGGCAAAGCCAACTGAGACACGGTAAAGTTCACATAACGTCAACCTTCCCCTAGATGTATGTTTCACGGACATAAAAACACAGGAGTCGTGCGCATCGACACGTGACGGTCCACACGTGAGGGAACGGCGTGAGGGAACGGCCGTCCCTCTCCATTTCTTCGTGGTGACGACATCCAGATCCCTCCTCCCGGCTTTCTGAGACGTACAGCACACTGTTGGCGACAGTCACCTGCACGTCTTAAAGGCGTGATGGTGGCATCTAGTACGTCACAGTGGGTGCCGCCCTCCCTCTGTCTGTCCCAGTTTTCAACTCTGTAAAGGACCACCCCCCTCTGCAGCAGTCCCCTCCCCGCTGCCCCCACCTCGAGGCACCCGTCAGGGCCCCTGCAGACCTTCAGGCTCTCTCCCTGCCCCCAGACGTGGGTGCCTTCCACAGCTCCATTACCAGCAGTCAACCTCGTTCTGAAATATCAAATGGAAAATTCCAGAAGCAGACCACGGACAAGGTCACTTAGCAGGTACCCTGGAACCAGGTCCTCTGTCACGGTGCTCAGGTCACCCTGAGTTTCCCTAGCGGCCCCAAGGCCCCAGAGTGTGTTCAGAGAAACACGATGTGTGGGCTCGGGCTCTGTCCGTGGTTTCAGTGTGGACACACAGGGTAAGGATGACCCCTCCTGGGGCTGGGGCCACTGTGACTTTTATTGTGTGCTGGTGACAACAAGAAGCGCATCCGACTGCCTAGAAGAACCAGGACCTTTCTAAAAACAGATTTACCAGACCACAGCTGAAGATGGGTGGGGTGGGCCAACCTGAGGACAGGGGGCAGGGAAGGCCGCGCACAGGGCGGACAGTGAGCCGTGAGTGGGGGATGGATGTGGAGCCCGTATTAGGAGGGCGAGGGGAGGCCATCGGTGCCTGTCCAGGGACTTAGTGACCACAGGTGAAGGTGTCTAGGACACGCAGCCTCCACTGGACCCTCGCAGCCAAGGAGACAGAGCCCCGTAGACACTGCTCTGCGGCTCCCTGAAGAGGCCCAGCCTCCTCCGCCCACAGCCTGGCCCCCCACGGCCTTCACACCCTCTGGCTCTTGGACGCGGCCACACCAGGGTTCTGACGGAGGTGCTCCTCCTGACCGCCACGCTGCGTCTGTGGGAGGGGCGGGAGGGGCCTCTGCACGGGCTTGAGCCTGGGCCGCAGGGCTCTCCTCTGACTGTGCCAGTCCTCGGCCACCACACCCAGCAGCAGAACGAGGACCACAGCACCGAGGCAGATCCGGACCAGGTTCCCCTGGGTGTGGTCCTGGCGGGCGAGACCTGGGGGAACGGTGGGGTCGGAGCAGGGGACAAGAGCCCATCCCCAGGACACCCCAGGCCCTATCTGGGCTTCTCACCATGCCACCTGATCTGGGTCCCTGTGATTCTCCACCCGCTGGGATGCCCGACTCCTCCCTAGGGCGCCACAACCAGTGTCGGGCCGAGTAGGACAGACTGTCTCACCTCCCACACGTTCAGACAGGCCACGGTCACCTCCCCGGGGCAGAAGAGAGCTACAAGGAATTTTTCTCTCTCCGGCCCCTTGGAGAACCAGCCTTCCCTCCTGATCTGATCGCCCACTCTGAGCTCCTGCGCCTCCCTAACGTCCTTCCCACCAGCCCCCGGGCAGTGCTCGGCTCCCACGCAGGGCCAGGGTCTGCTTTGGGCGAGAACAGGGGGAAGGGGCGGTCTGAGAGGACGGCTTACCAATTGGAGTGCTGGACCCCTCTGGAGAGACGGGGACGTTCCTGGACAGGGCTAGGAATCAAAGCAGGCCAAGTGTGGGCAAACGGGACCTGCCCCTGGGGGGGACGAGAACTACGGAGGCGGCCGTCCAGATGTGACCCCCTGCCCAGCACCATGAGGCGTGGGAGCCTGGCTGTGACGACATTGCTCACACCACGTTCTGAGAGTTAGATCAACACAGACTGAGCTTCCCTAATGCGACATCCTGAATCCCGAGATTCGCACAGTTTGAAATTTTTGAGCACTGATGACACCCCAAGTGGAAAATCCCACGTGACAGGTCACGGTCGAAACACAGGGGCACAGAAAGTGCTGTGTGGAACTGCCTTCAGGCCCCGTGTGTAGGGGCACGTGACCCAGCATGAGTCCCATTTGGACTGGGGTCCCGTCGGCAAGACGCCTCCCTGTCCGCGGGCAAATGTTCCCAAACCCAGAGCCCCTCTGGGCCCAAGCACGTCAGACGAGGGTCACTCAGCTGTCACAGACACATGGGAAGCACCCACGTGCCAACTCTGCTTAGTCCTCAGTACTCCCTGAGACCTGCCGGGTTCTCGGCGTCATGCTGGGTGACAGGGACCTCGAGGTCTATCAGACATGGTCCGCGTGGGGCTCCCGGATTTTGGAGGAGCCCAAGAAGTGAGGTGACAGTTTTGACATGCTATTAGCATTTCTGCAGCAGGTACCTCTCAGGTCACTGAGCTCACGGGACAATGCAGCCTGGAGAGTCGAGAACCGCTTCCTGAGGAACCACAGTGACAGGAGGAAGGCCGAGCAGGCGGCTGGGCGGGGCGGGAGAGGGCGGCACAGCCAGACCCCAAAGGCCAAGAGCGGCTGACGTCTATGCTCATGGGACCATGGGGACCCCTGACCTGTCCTCAGTGGACCCGTGACACTGCTGCAGTGGGGGGTGCGACTGCAGAGGACTGGAGTAGGACCTGTGCGTGCAGGGACAGTGGGTGGGGTGTGGGAACAAGTTCCCGTAGAGACTGGTGATGGTCTTCCTGTTAGCGCCATCCTGGAACAGGCCCTCCCCACAACGCTCCTCTGCTGGCCTCGGAGCCAGCCCCCGGGCCTCCATGCTCAGCCCAGGGCTGTCCTGGTTAGGGCGGGGCTCGCGACATGAGTTAAGCCCAGAGGACTGGATGGCGGAAGAGAGCCCGCCTCACACGCCTCCCTGCTGGGCTCCGAGTGTCGGGCTACTCACCGGTGGTCGAGGCTCTGTTCCTGGGTGAGGTGATCAGTCTCCTGGAGGCTTCGGGGGACGCTAAGCAGAGGGATCATAATGACATGGATAATGTCAGTTCTTCCCCAAGGGCCCCTCTCTGCAGACCCCTCAAGGGGCAGCGGCTGCCCAGAACCCCTATCTCTGAGGAGAGACAAAGTCAAAAGGCCCCAAGTCTCAGCATCCACCTCTCTGGAGAGAACCGGATCCCGTTCCGCTGTGGTGCCATTGTGCGTGATGCTACCGTAGCCGTCACACACGGACCTGTGTGGACCTAGGTTCTCAACTGTCTTGGTACAAACCCTGGAGTGAAATCGCTGGGTCACGGGACAACTCTATGTCTGACTCCTCGAAGGACCGCAGGCTGCTTTCCAAACACAGCACCATTTCACACCCCACCAGTAAGGGAGGTGCGTCCAGCTTCCCCACCTCCTCACCAACATCCGTCTGTTTGCTTGTTTGTTTCTTTTTCTAACTATCCTGGTGGGCATGGTGAATTCCGTAGGGACATGAATATGTCAGCATAACGACTGGCCAGTGGTCTTCACCAGCCCTCGGAACGAGCTCAGGAGGCCCCTCCACCAAGGCCATTTGCTGACCCAGGGACCTCCCCTCATTTCACCTGGCCACCAAATACTCCTGAAGCCCCTCCGTCTGCACCTGTCCTATGCAGCTCTTGTTCTCATGGGGCTGCGCTGGGGACGTCTATATCGTGGGACCGGCTCAAAAGCCTGGCTCACACTCAGCTCTGCCTGGAGTGGGACTGGGTTTCTCGGGGCCACTTCTCCTCCTGTGAGATTAGTTAGTGAAGCTTTTGAACAGTGTGTGGCACTGCCTTCCCGGGAGACCACTCCGCAGTCAAGGAAGGAGAACAGCCCAGAGGGCCTCAGGGGCACTGTGCCCAGGGGAAAAGGCCACCGGAACGGTCAGACTGGGGGGTGCCATCCATCATCTGTTCTAGAAACGCAAAATATACACACAGAACTCATCAGTAGATGCAGGTGTTGGGGTGGTGGGGAGGGGAGGGGTGGATGGAATGTGAAGGGGTGTGTGAGGGTCCCCCAAAAGCTCATGTGTATGACAATGCAAGAAAGTTTAGAGAGGACACAACGATTGGGTTACGAGGGCGTTAACTAGCGGGGGTCACTGCAGGCAGGCAGGGTGTGACCCAGGAAGGTGGGACACTGGTGTGCATCGGGAGACACACATGGGGTACTGGGACTGGAACCAGGGGTGCTTAAGCACAGAGCCACTCCCCTAGCCCCTTTTATTTTTTCATTTTGAGACAGTGTCTCAATAAGTCGCCGAGGACCTTGCTAAATAACTGAGCCTGGCCTCGAACTTGCGACCCTTCTGCCTCAGCCTTCTGAGTCGCTGGATTACAGGCACACACCACCTCACCTGGCTGGGGTTTATATTTTGCATCCAGCTCGCTCTCTCTCCCTCTCTCTCCCTCTCTCTCTCCCTCTCTCTCT